TCGATAGCAAACCGCAGTCGCCGCATATTGCGGCGCTCGATCCAGAGCTAGTCGCCCCGTGAAAGCTGCAGGCCAAGCAAGCTTAGAACCTGGGCGCCCTCCTCCACCTCGAATAGCATCAAACCGCACTGCTCCGAAATCTCACGAATTTCCACCAGACGTTGGTCGGTCTTGTTTTTGTCGGCAACGATCGTCAAAACGTCGTCAATGCAACCCGCCGCGACCACGTCCCCCCCCCCGATTCCCGCCGCCAGTAAGCCATCCAAGATAGCGAGAGATGCGGCGACGCCCGCTGGCGCGATAGCACGCCGAACAACGCTCTGACAGAACAGCAATGATCAAGACCACCCCATAGGAAGAACACAGAGCTGTGGAGAGATGGGTGCATTGAGGCGGAGGCGCTGCCCTTCCAGTTCCTTGAGCCCCTGGCGTCGGGCTGCCACGCGCGGCAGTCGCAACTAGCGCCGCAAGAACGATGGCAATTCCATCCTGTCAAGCGCTGCATTGATGTCGCCCGTGGCCACGTGGACCTGCCCGTCGGCCCCCGCCTGACTGAGCGAAGAGGCTGTCGGTTGTCTGGTGGATAGTGGGTCCCTGAATGCGCAATTACAGACGCGGCCGTCGAAAATTACGCGGATCCCCCCATGCTTCTCGGCGACGAAGAACACGCCGACACCATGGGGCGTCTCCCGGGCCGCGATCCACTCAACTATCCCGCGGGCACAGAGGAGAGAGAGGAAGTCGGAGTTGGCGATGGGGCCGTTTTCTTCAGGAATGGGTCGGCGCAAGGTTCCCGAGGACCCAGTTCCTGATGCAAGCCACCGGTTTCACTAATATCCCTGAGCGAACTCACCTGATAGCCATGCGACCAAGCAAAGTCCCCGGGAGACAACATAGTCGTCACACAGGCAGCGGCTGCCCGATCGGGAAGGGCAAGCAATCGCCGGGCGCGCGGCCTCCAGCGCGAACCCCGACCCGTCTTCGCAGAGCCCTGAGGCCGCGCAGATCTCGCGCACAGACCCCGCGCCAGTAGCAAGGTCCGGTGGAGCAGCAGATGTAGCAGAGCAACATTCGCGAATGTGCCTCAGCGCGCCCCGTTGGCCGGCATTATCCGCGCAGTCGCGCGCGCCCTTCACCCCTTCTCAAAGCCTTCTCAAAGCCGATACTGCTGGACACGCTTGCGCCTTCGCTGCACACCGCGGCACTGCAACATAACTGTCTGCTGCTGTCCCGCCTCCTCGCGCCAAAAAAGCAAGGGGCAGACGTCCCGCTCACGATCGCTGCAGGCGCACTTACCTGCTCGACTCGAGAGGCCAGGCAGCGGCGGCACAGGAGGGAATCTGGAAGCGGAAAGGGCCTCGAGTTCGAGACCAGGAGGAGGGGGGATCTGCAAAAGAGAACTGGCGGGCTTAGCACGAGGAGATCCTGCTTCACTGGCCTCCAAAGAAAAGGGCGACGGGCGGCCGGTCCCCGCCGCCCGAGGGGTCTCAGCCATTGTCTCGCCCTTCTTGGCCCTGCGCCTCCCCATCGGAGAGCTGAACTGAACGAGACGTGATCTCGGCGGCTGCGATGTCGGGCAAGTTCAATTGGTCGGACGTCGCCATGCTCTCGAGCATCTGACAGCACAAATGGCTCTCCACACCACCATCGTCGTTCTGCAGTTTCGCATCTGCCTTCCACCTCGCGCGCCTGCCACTTGAAACTGGCCGGTGGACACCATGAAACGACATAGCCACAGCAGTGTGCGAGGACCCCGAACAGGAAAGTCGTTCAGCGGTGTCTCCACCATCCCCTCAACGGCCAAGCGCCGAAAGCGGCTCCCTGGTGCATCACGGGCGACTGGCTGGATGCGAATATCGATTGCGGGCGTGGCGGCCCCAACGGCTGCAGCGAGACCAGCGGTTCCGACAGCAGGCATCACTACACCACCGTGGCCCATGGCTGACGGCGGCACCGCCATGATATAGGCCCCGCGGGCACACCAGCGCCCACCGCCGGCACGGCAGCCGCGGCGGCAGCGGCAGCTCCAGCGCCGCCCGCGGCGTCAGCGCCTCCTGCTCCTAGAAGCCCTGGAGCTGGTCCACGGGCGGCGGCCAGCGCTCCGACACCTCCGCCAACTGCAGGCACAAGCGAACCAGCCCCAGCTGGCGGCGCGGCAGCGGGTGCAGCACCTCCGCCACCGAGAACACAACCCGCCAAGTTGGGCTGCTTCCCGTCGCCAGGCATGCGGAGCCCCCGCCGCGCTGCCGCCGTGGCCCTTGACGTCGCGAACGCGCCGGGCGTCGGCAGGTGCTGGAAGCGGTAGATGGGCACCGGGGTTGCAGCTCCGCAGGCACCTCCAGTCATCAAGCCGAACCACACGATGTCGAGACCCTGCGACAAGTCTTCATCATAGTTGTCCCCATCTGGGGTCAGCACGCTCACCGTTGTGCCAGCCCCTGGCTCGATCAGCACGAGCCTCTCGTGAAACAGCGGCGCCCCTGGCACATTATACTGCACCGCGCCGAAATCCCCCGCCTCGATCCCGAGGCCCTGCACAGGCGGCGGCGCCGCCGCCGCAGCCATCTCAGGCCTGTGATCGCCGCTGACGGAGCACAGTCAACTGCTCCTGGGCCAGCGTTCCCACGTTCACCTTGCGGTGGACGGCTGACTGTCGCCCTCCTGGGATGCCGCCTGCTTGCGCCGACCAGGCTTGCCGAGGCCCCCCCACACGGCGATAGCGGCGGCGCCCAAGCAGCCGCAGCTCGCCAGGGCCAGCAGCCCCGCCACCAGCGCCAGCAAGCGGAGGTCCGGGAAGCCGATCCCGATGCCGCTGGCCTTCGGCGAAACGATGGGCGCGGGCGCGCCAGGACACGCAAGACAGGCAGGCAGCGCCGGAATCGCAGGGCACTGAGGACACTGGACAGGGGTGAGAGTTGGGGCAGGAGACAAAGTACGTGAGGGAAACCTCCCACGCCCAAGCGACAGCCTGTGACCACATCCGAAAACGCCGGGGCGGTCTCGGAAAAGCTTGAGCCACAACGTTGTGCGGCCCCGCCCTCCTGACTCCCACTTACTGCACTCCATCCATATATTGTCGTCGACAGCATCGTCAGCATCGTCATCATCATCATCATCATCATCATCATCATCATCATCATCATCATCATCATCATCATCATCATCATCATCATCATCATCATCATCGTCATCGTCATCATCGTCATCATCATCATCATCATCATCATCATCATCATCATCATCATCATCATCATCGTCATCATCATCATCATCATCATCATCATCAGCATCATCATCATCATCATCATCATCACACTCATCATCGTCAACAGCAGCATCATCAGCAGCATCATCAGCATCCTCATCATGAGCAGCATCATCATCCTCATCATCCTCATCATCATCCTCATCATCCTCATCATCATCCTCATCATCATCATCATCATCATCAACATCATCATCATCAACAACATTGCCATCGCCATCAACATCATCATCAACATCGACATCAGCAGCACCGTCAGCATCATCAGCATTATCATCATGATAATAATCATCATCAGCAGCAGCAGCCGCAGCAGCATCACCAGTATCATCAGCACGATCATCACCACCGCCACCAAGATCACAACCATCACCATCAGCATCATCATCATCATCATCATCATCATCATCATCATCATCATCCTTACCATCATCATCATCATCATCATCATCATCATCATCATCATCATCATCATCATCATCATCATTATCTGCATCATCATTATCATCATCGTCATCGTCATCATCATCATCATCATCATCATTACAATCATCACCATCATCATAATCGTTATCGTCATCGTCGTCGTCATCAGCGTCATCACAATCAACATCATCATCATTATCAGCATCAGCATCATGATCATCATCATCATCATCATCATCATCATCAGATGCATCTGCATATTCATCTTCAGCATCATCGTCATCACCAGCATCACCCTCATCAGCATCATCATTAACATCATTAGCATCAGCATCATAATCATTACCAACATCCTCATCATCATCATCACCATCGACATCAGTAGTATCATCATCAGCATCATCATTACAATCATCTTGGGCATCATCGTCGACATCAGTATCAGCATCATCATCATCATCACCATCGTCATCGTCATCATCACCATCACCATCACCATCATCACCATCATCAGCATCATCAACATCATAATCATCACCATAAAAATCCCCGTCAGCATCACAATCATCATAATCATCATAAACATCACCATCAACATCAACACCAACATTAGCAGCATCATCCGTTTCATCATCATTACCACCATCATCACCACCATCATCAGCATCAGCATCATCATCATCCTCACCAGCATCATCATCATCATGAATATAAATATCGTTATCCGTATGGCAACTGTTATCAGCATCATCATCACCACCACCACTATCATCAACACTAGCATCGTCATCAGCACCATCAGCAACATCAGTATGAACATCATGATCACCATCATCATCAACGACGACGAACTTCACTCCACAAACTTTGAGCGGGAGCCCCTTCAAGAGAACACGGGCACCAGAAATGCACGCGACCTAGCGCTACCCGTCAGACATGACTCTGAACACACACACACACACACACGTGTGTAGAAACACTCAATCATTTGGCCGTTACCGTCAAAACCACCACCATCGTCAACAACACCATGATCAAAATAGAAGCCGGTATCACCATCATCCACCATCATCTCCTCAATGGCAAGCACCATCGTTGATGATAATGGTAATCAACATCGCCACCATCACCAGCCAGATGGCCATCATCTTCGGATTCCTTCATATCATACTCATCTGGTATGAGACAAGACGGCCGTTCGCCCAAATGAGGAGCAGATCTTGCACACACACACATGGGTCATACTCGTCTTTCCCGTTCAGCGTGAGGGTCTTCTTCCGCCGTCGACCCCCTTCCCCCCCCCCTGCAC